GGAAGCTTGGAGGAGACTGAAAGTGAGGAAGGGCTAGGGAACAATGATAGATGAGTGTCTGTCTTTCTAATCTCCAGGGAGACTTTCTTATCCACACCCACATCCCCGGGTTCCTCCCTGCTGGTCTCTCACCGTGGCTGCCGCACCTCTCTCCTGGCCTACTTTGGTCCACCCTAAATACTGTTGCTAAATGAGTCCTTCTAAATCAACACACTTTCTCTTTTAGCAGTTCCCAGTTGTTCTCAGAACCCATGACAATGTGGCCTCAGCATCCTGTTCTAGTTTATGCCCTCCCTCCACGCACTCATTTATTGCACAAACGTTTGCTGGGAAATGCAAACACGAACTTCCTGCTCTAAGGAGGCCGCTCTGCTCCCTGCAGGTGCTGCAGCGTCCTGTGGCCCTCCCGTCTTCCGTAAGCTGCTAACCCGTGCCGTTTTCCAATCTACCACCCTGCTACCCACAAGACTCAAGGACATTTTATTGTACTTTCTTCACACTTGTTAGAGAGGCTCCTCATGTGTAACAAACCTTCCATGAGCATGTCTTCATTAAATGACCTGACAATTCAAGAACTGAGCACTTATACGATAAACTGCTTAGAGAAATACCGGTTCTTGAAGCAGTGGGGAAGAAAACTAGTAAATTTAACACTTTTAAAGAATCTACCTCTTTGTTACTAGTTACCTATTGTTTTAAATATTCAATTTTTTACCCAAAGTCCGTATTGACTATCTCTCTTTGTGTATCAACCATCATCAGCAAATGATGGATGTATTAGAAGATTATGTATCTTTGTATTCTGTCCACACATTTTAGACATTCAAAAATAATATCGGGTTAGTTTTGGGGAGAGGACAAAGTGATATTTATCCAAAGCAATATTAACCTTTGTCACTAAATATATTACTTTCATATGATTATCATTTCTTTGATAAAGCATTGTGTATTGAGCATTTGCTGTGAGCAGGGCTTAGTGTGAGATACTGCGGGACACGGGCCCATGGTCCATTTACCCAAAAGGACCTTGAAGGGCAGGTGTGGCCAAGGCTTTGCCATGCAAGTCAAAAGTGCGGCGAGTGACGCAGTGCTTCGTAGGGGCTGGAAAAGTCGGGGAAGACGGAGGAGATGCTGGCACTGGGCGCGGGAAGATAATTAGGATGCAGATGAGCAGAGGGAGAGGCAAAGCCTGAGGGAAGGCAGTGAGGGCCCGGTGCGGTACTTAGAGTTTTTAAACATGATGACCTTGCAGCACTGCGAGATGCTACAGTGATTTCTAAAGCAGCCACGGAGAAGAGCGCCTTCTGTGTCCTCGGAATTTAGGAAGCCGTGCTGGTTCCTATGGTGATTATTGGTTAAAATGATTATTGAAATAACCAAGGCACCGGTGCCCTAACCTCCCCCAGTACCTGCGTGTTTGCCATCAGTACCCTGAGGCCACAAGAGTGACAATGCCGAAGAGCTGCAACTGTGTCACAGACATTCGCACAGAAATTCACCCAAGCTCTCAACGAAGTAGGTGGCAAATGGGAAACCAGCTGTCAGGCTGCTGTCACGGACACAGAGTTGCCTGTCTTAGGGATAGTTCTGGTCCAGGGAGATTGGCAGAACATCGCCTTACGTTGGTGGTTAGAATTTCTTTTACTTTACCAAAACCATTGGGTCCCTGAGATCTCTCTGAGGACAATGTCTTCATCATCTCTGGGTCCCAGTGCCTAGCCCCAATGCTTGGCAAATATGGAGCTGGGGGAACGCAGGTGGGGGTTGGGGGAAGGCGCTCAATTAATGTTTGGAAAGCTAACACATGAGTGAATGGATAGAGGAAGGGGGGACATAAGAGTTTATTTATTTATACTTCTAAAACTTGGGGGGGGGGGGTTGGGTTGACTGCAAGGATGTATCTATGAACAGACGGTGCTCAGTCCAAGCTCAGGAGATTGGAACGAGAGTTCACAAAGTCCCCTGTGCTGTAGCCATACCAGGCTTTGCTCGGGAGCCGCTTGTGCTCCCTCTCCTTCCCACTGTGCTGTTGAACGAGTGAGGCCTGAGCAAGGAGACTCGTGGGTTTCCGTAGTCCTGAACCCATTCGGTGTTTTCCTGAGAAACTGAGGTGGAGGCTGTGGGAGCAGAAGAAAACGAGTTTGTGTTGTTTTGGGGTGGGAAGGAGCTTTCCTGATGCTGGAGCCAAGCTTGTGCACGATAAAGGCTGGGTGGGTGGACGGGAGGTAGACGTTACTTCATCAACCGTTTTTGCACTTTTCTGTCTGAAAGTAGACAAGCAACTGAAAGGAGTAGGAAGTAGAAATGAGAAATATGATGTAATGAATCGAATTTTGTGGGGATTTTTCTTCTAGTTGATTGTTCTTCCACCCTATTATCTTATTTTTATTATTATTCTATTTTTCCATTTTGATTGCTTTGTAGGATTGAAACACACAAAACAGATATGAGAACATATCTGGTAAGGCAAAGCCTAAATGCTATTAGTCATTCCATTCCAGACCTAGGAGATGGGACAACTTTGAACTTCATGCATACAAATGTTCCACGCGTACATTTTTATGTCTTGATGTCAGAGTCAATTTCAGTTACAAATGGGCCTCTTACCTATTTGGCTAGTAGAACTTACGGACATTTGGGACCTATTACTCATGTAAATGTGGCCCTACTCTCTAGTCAGTCATTGTTAAATATAATGTTGAACTGAATAAAGTTAAATTTGAAGCCAAGACCATTTTAAGCTTGTATCAGCTTTAATCAGCCTTGAGAGTACGTCGGTTTGCCATGAAATGAAGGCATCAGGAACTCTATGGCCAGGTTTCTCAAGGGAGACAAAGCTTCCCAGATTCCAGGGGCAGGTTCCAGTTAAACCTGGTCACAAACCATGGTGAGCCCCAGTCCTGAAACCCTGCAGACCACTCCACTCTTTCAAACTTCTGGAATGCGCCCCAATATGAGACATATCAACTGGGAGGGTGAGACATCAATAGATTACCATCACCTTCATTATTTAAATCCTTTTTTGGTGTGTTTTCTGTTTTGCCCAATTAACAGAGAAATAATAAGTTTTCTGTGTGTGGTTTTATTTGACCCAATGCAGAGGTCTCTCTGATTTAAGTTCTTCTGTTTGCTGCCTTTCACCCCGCCCCGAGTTACATCATAGTCATTATTATGTCTCTACATTTGCTATGAAATTGTTTTATGAATTAAAAGTCAGTCTCTGCTTGTAGAATTAGAGAGGGAGCAAGTCCCAGCATAGGGCAAAAGCAGGATTAATAGTGACATGTCATAATATTCAACCATAATAACATCCCTGAGCAAAACTTTATCGCCAATATTTCTTTGTGGAGCCCAGAAGCTATGTTGGTCATTTTCTGATTTCCCTACTGACCTTTCAGGACATTTCCTTCTACTGATGGAACTGTCATTCTGTCATGGGGAAAGACAACAGAGTAATGTAACATGGTAACTGGCCAAAGCAAGGGCTCAGGCTGGCCTGTCCGGGCGGTCTCAGTAAATTGCTCCTCCGGATTTAAAGGGAAATCAGTGTTACTCGAGATTTTGAAGCTTCTTTAGCACATTTCAAAACTATTTGGCAAGACATTCAAAATAACTGAATACAGTAAATGCATAGTTTTAAATATTGTAGTTCATCAATTCTTTAAAAAATAGCATTAAAAACATTGTACCCTTAATATCCGTATATTTGTCGTTGCTTTTAATAGGTATCACTTTTCTTAAAAAGCAGTTTAGATTGGCCGAGGGAACCTTGGTGTTTTGTTTTTTGTTTTTGTTTTTGTTTTCCAGAATATTGCAGGACATTTGTCTGCCTAGGAAATGCTGGGTGTTGTTCCTGATGATGCGTGGTGGGGTGTGTGGCGCTTTCCATTGGCAGCTGCTCGAATTATGGGAGGGATTTTCCTCATTTTGAATCACATTTGCTTTCCTTTAGTGCCTACTGCTATGTCTGTACACGCTGACTTCTCTAACTCTCTTCTTGCCCATTTAAGCCAGAGGTGCCTTGATCTTTACCTGATCATTTTAGAGCTAATCATTTATAAAAGCTGTTTCTTTGCAAAGTTCCATGAGATGCCATAAGGTGAGATAAGACCTGTAATTATGATAAGCAGAGCACCTGACAACTAATAGCATCCACTGAATACCTATTGCATTTTTATTTTTAAAATACCAGTCTGGTACATAGAAATGCACAGGGGCTTTGAAATCAAAGAAAGCCTAGATTCTATTGCAGGTCAAGTACTAACTTTCTCTAGGATCTTGGGCTATATTTTTCACCTTTCTCAGTCTCTATATTCTCAGTCATTTTTAAAATAAATCTCTTCTTTACAAAGTTCTGTTGAGGAGCACCTGTGCCAGTATCCATAAAGTACCTGGCAGAGGTCCTAGCATATAATAATTGCTCAGTAAACATTAGTCCCCACGCACAACACATCCTCCCCCTACCCCGCCTCCCCTGTAACCCAGGACAGGACTGTAAAGAGAGGAATGAGAGCCGTGGCTTCCAGCTTTGCCCTTTCCAGCCCCACAAGCTCCTTGCATGTTTCCCTGTCAAATAGTGTCGCGTCTACTACAGAAGTTTGTTGTAAGAATCCAATAAAATATTAGATTGGTGATGACTTTCAAATATCGTGATGTGTTTGTTTTCTCAATGTAAGGTATTGTAATTGCTGGTAGTGATTTGTCAGAGAATAACTGCTGAATGGAGGCATGATCTAGTCCCGCCCTCCTCCCTCCCCACACCGGAGCAGGGAGGAAAAGCCCAGCAAACTTAACGTTGAAAACGGGTTCACACGTGTTTATGGAAATAGGCACATATGGGAACATTCACCTGATCAGTGCACATCCAGCCAAACACTCTCATGTGAACATTGGGCAGAAGAGGCCACGGCTCAGTGCTGACATAAACACGACAAAGGTTTAGCGCCCCCGAGTCACAGTGGTCAATGAGTGACTGACACCCTTCCTTTCCTTTCTTCCAGGAATTTCTATTACATCACCATGTTGCGCGATCCAGTGTCCCGATACCTGAGCGAGTGGAAACACGTCCAGAGAGGGGCTACCTGGAAAACCTCCCTCCACATGTGTGACGGGAGAAGTCCCACCCCTGATGAGCTTCCTACCTGCTACCCCGGAGACGACTGGTCTGGGGTTAGCTTGCGGGAGTTCATGGACTGCACCTACAACCTGGCTAACAACCGCCAGGTGCGCATGCTGGCCGACCTCAGCCTGGTGGGCTGCTACAACTTGACTTTCATGAACGAGAGCGAGAGGAACGCCATCCTGCTGCAGAGCGCCAAGAACAACCTGAAGAACATGGCCTTCTTCGGGCTCACAGAATTCCAGCGGAAGACACAGTTTCTCTTTGAGAGGACATTCAACCTCAAGTTCATCTCCCCCTTCACGCAGTTCAACATCACGCGGGCTTCCAATGTGGAGATCAACGAGGGAGCCCGCCAGCGCATCGAGGAGCTGAATTTCCTGGACGTGCAGCTTTACGAGTACGCGAAGGATCTCTTCCAGCAGCGCTACCACCACACCAAGCAGCTCGAGCACCAGCGGCAGCGGCAGAAGAGGAGGGAGGAGCGCCGGCTGCAGCGGGAGTCCAGGGGCCACCGGTGGCCCAAAGAGGACGGGAACACGGAGGGCGCCGTCACTGAGGACTACAACAGCCAGGTGGTGAGATGGTGACCCCCTGCGCTCTCCTCCCTCCGCGGCGGGAGGCTGATCAGGTGCACTGACCTTCCTAGGTGGCATTGCCTTGGAGACTGCTGGGCCATTCTGAAGGCAGCTGGCCGTGGGCGGCTTGAGCTGGACGCATCCCATGCTTCCTCTTTGTCTTCATATTACCCAGAAGGAGATGACGAGGCTTATTCTTTTCCTCCTGACATTTTCCAGTCTGGGGTATTAAGTGGGGCGAGAATGCATCCGGTGTCGATTGCGCTGGAAGGTCGAGGAGAAAGGCGCCAACGAGGAAACAGTCCTTGCCATCTCCTCTTGCAGCAGCACCGGTTGTAGTCCGGGCGACTGGCAGCCGCAGAGGCAGACATGAAAAGCCGAATGATGGCTTGGATGTTCTGCTGAAACTGGTGTGTTTCATACTGTCTCTGTAATGGAAATATTGGCCTGTTTCAAGAGAGAGGGAACAAGAAGTCCCTTTCAACCCTTTGATGATGAGGTTTTCGGCCAGCCCTCACTTTGCTGTTGGCTGTCATCTTTGAACTCTGTTCGAATGTGGTTTAAATCATAAGAAGAGTAGTGTGTTTTGTTGCAGTCTTTCAAAGCGAGATTTTTCCACCCTTGACCATCACTAGAGACTCACATCGTACAAAGCCCTGCGTCCTAGCCCTGAACCATGTTTTCTCCCCTACTTTTTAGGGAATGGCAAGACAGGGGTGCCTGTGGCCCCATTGGTAGGGGCGTTTGGGAGAAAATGTGCTTATTAACTAATGCCTAAGGAGATCACAAGTTACCAAGTTTTATTTGCGATGTAAGGAATGAATGCTAAGGGGAAAGAGAGTGGGAAGATCAACATATGTCTACCATTTCCAAACTGGCTACAGAACTTAGTTTTATTCTTTTTTTAAAGAGCATTTCAGAGTTTCGTGTTTTTGGAGCTGTCGTCTTCTTTGATATGAAACTGCCGGGCTTGAATTCTGCTGTCACAGAGGGAGAGACGTTTCAAAGGAACTGGGTCTGAAGATGGGAGCTTAGCTAGGAGGCATACAAAAGGCCCCTAAATAAACAATAATTTTGATTTAGGCCAGGAGATACGGAAGACAAGGGGATGGTTATCCCAGGAGTTTAAAAAGACCCGATCTCCAAAAGTCTTGAATATTTCTAGCCTGATAACCTTTTCCTCCTCCCGCCATGGACTCCACCTGTTGCTAGACTGTGGCTACAGCTGGCGAATCTGGCTACACTCACAGGGTGTCCAACCTGTGGCCCATGGGCTGCACGCAGCCCAGGATAGCTATGAATGGGGACCAACACAAAATCGTAAATTTATACTTAAAATGATACGAGATTTTTTTTCGTTAGTGTTTGTGTCTTTAACATGTGGCCCAAGGCAACTCTTCATCTTCCGGTGTGGCCCAGAGACACCAAAAGTTTGGACACCCCTGGTAAGAGTGTATGAAACCGAACCAAAAAAAATGCACCACATTGCCAAGTATTTCTTATTTTCACCTTTTTCCAGTCACCACTACAATAATACAGAGTGGGTTTTTTTTTTAATGACAAGGGGAGACAAATGGGAGAGGAAATAGACAGCCCTTGCCTACCCTGTAGGAGGAGGATCAGAGTGAGTAAGAGAAGTTTCACAGCAGATTGATCTGATCAATCCCCTCAAGGAGCTGAAGGCAAAATGAGTGAAACTCCTAAATCAGATTGAAAGCCTATTTCATTGATATCCAGTGCATTTGATGTTAAAGCCAGCTTTGTCTAAGCCACGTCTCAGCCTCCATAACACTCTCTCCGGGGTTGAGAGTCCATCAACTCACCGGCATCTGTGGAGTGCCTGCCCGCACCGAGGGGGGCCTGGTGCCTCCATCAGGGAGAGATCTGGGGAGGTTGCTTAGGGACGTCTCTCCCTGCCCTTGGCGTCATCTGTCGTGCGAGGGAAGGCATTACTGGGGACCTCCCTTTTGCCAGGAACTGCGGGAGGCCCGTGTCCTACCTTAAATCTCTTCACCACCAGTTATATTTTATCAGTCCCAATTTCACAGATGAGTACAGGGAAGCCCACGGACAATAAGTAGTTTCTCGTGAATCACGCGCTAGGTCTGGGGACTGCAAAGTGCAAGCTCTAGGTGCTCCATCATGGTTTCCACGTGGGGTAAAAGCTTCCTGCCAAGCACGCGAGAATCCAGCCGCTATTGCCCGGGAACGTATATCTCTGTCCCTTATGGATGGCACAACTGTGACAGCACCAAGTTGGCAGTGACCCAGAGCAATCCGGCATTGGGTGAGTCCAGCCCTTTCCACATCACCGACCTATCAGTGAGCTCAGAGACTGGTGATTTTTAAGGCAATTGTGCTTTTGAGCTGTACATAAAGGTGAGTTCAAGGGGCCAAGTACATACAGGGTCTGACACAAATAATGCTCCCTCTCTATTACAAAATCTTCTATTACAAAATTATAAGCATGTAATTTTGGAACATAACAATATCACACTCAAGCACACCGTAGGGCATGTTAGGTGAAATGTTCAAATGAAAACTATAAATTATTACACCTGTATTTTGACCCTACCAACCACACTCAGACAGGCCTTACTTCTGCCAGAGCCTGTGTCGCTTGTTAGTTGGTAGAGATTAGGCTGACAAAATATTAATGTTTCCTTTTCCAGTGATTTGCTCCTAAGGTAGGGATGGAAGGAAGATTGCCCCTGGTTTAATGGGAAGCTCTCTCTCTCTCTCTGTCTTCACATTAGCTGTCAGGATCTAATATCTGCCTTGGATGGCAGGTCTGCAAATTATCCTCCCGGCTGCTATTGTGACACACACAGGCACCTACGTGTGCCCACATCCACACACGTGTACGCACATCCACACACACACACGCATGCACCAGAATGGTAATCCAGTACTTGGTCATGCAGGAAATCAAAACAAGTTAGAAAGCATTGAGATAGTTTCTTTTAAACTCACTTTAAATTTTTGGCAGGGAATGTGTACGTAGCTGAGACTTGGAGGCAGCCTCTGATAACTTCACACCGTTCCTGAGGCACCTCGGCATTCATATCAAAAGCCTATCTGTGGCCTTGCTGCTACAGGCGTGATGCATGGTGCTCCACTGGAGACCAGATATCAGGATGTGCAGAGGAGAAACCATCTCTTCCGGCCGGCCCGAGGCCGGTGCTGAGCAAATTAAAAAGACCGACAAGGGCTTTCTCCTCATATCATTTCACTCTAAAGCAGCACGCTTGTTATGTCCCTGGGGTCCTGTGTTGATAGAAACGATGAGGCAGGGGCGCAGTTTGTTCTCCGAAAGCTGACTGCGCACCTACATGCTGAGCGAAGCTCAGGGAAGCGACGCCAACAGCGGGCATCTGGGCCTAAGGGTCCATGGGAAGTCGTCAGCCTGAATCCCTAAACCAAAACGCTTCCAGACACGTCAGTGTTCAAAGCCCAAGAAGAGAGAAACAATATTCCCCAGGGACTTCCACTCCTACTGACTCCTGTAGCTCCCAAGTCGGTATTCCTTTTCGTCCCTGGACAAGGGCAGCCCAGGAACCAGATTGGGATGAGGTGTCTCTGCACCTGTGTGTGTATGTTCAAGTAATTATTATTATTATTATTATTATTATTACTATTGACTGAGATACATAATGTCTATTCTGCCTCATTTACTGGCAGTCTCCTCTTGGTAACTGAAGAAAACACTGAGAATTATTTGGATTCCCTTTCTGATAATTAATAACATTAGCAATGAGTTTGAGACAACAGTGAAGGGTATCATGTGTGCTGTTCAAATTTATTAAAATGTATTTTTATCATCTAAATGAGGTGACTGTCGTATATAATTCAGCCAAAGGTTTGAAATACATGGATTTGTTCAAAAGTCATTAAAGAAGTAGTATAAATATGGCAGAGAAGGTCTACCAGATAGACCTAAGGAGGTAAGCATAGGTCATAAAAAAATAAGTATAAGTGTATTAGATAGCATTCCCATGTGGCTGATTTAACAAAGAAACTCAAAATGATAGCGATTTCAGTAAGAGGGAAGAATTGTTCTCTCAAGAGACAAACAGATTGGATAACTCTGGTGTGTGACATTACTGGAAGCCAGCACCCTCTCTTGCTTTTTCATCCTAATGTGCAACTTCCACCTCATGGCCCAAGACAACTGCTTCGGCTCCTGCCATCTCATCTACATTTAAGACAGCAGAGAGGCAATGGACGAAAGTTGCACATATTACTTTTAGTCACATGTTATGGGCTAGCACCTAGCCATTAGCTACATTTAGCAGCAAAGAAAAACAGGAAATGTCTTTATTATTGGTTGCCATGTGCCTTGATCAATGTGAAGGTCCTATCATTAAAGACACAATGTAAAAATTAATACTGATAAAACTATTACTTTCTGACACAAAAGGGAATTTAAAAAATATTTCAAGTGCTTTTCAATGTCAGCTATGTTGTCATATGTTTTACAATGAATAAGATTAAAATTCGTAACTTTATATAGTATCTGATGCTTTTTAAACACATTTTTACACTTAGCATCCCATTGCTTTTCACTACACCCTTAGATGTCAGATAGAACCTCTTACTCGTCACCCGTTAGATAGTGTGACATGGACGTTCAGAGATGTAGGAAGACTCCCCAAAGATTCTCGTTTACGAACAAGAAAGCTGCTCAGAGTCCAGTCTCTTGACGTCACAGCCTTTCCTACTACTTTCCGCTGCTCAGCCTCCCTCGGGTTTGGGAATTGAAAAGATATCGACCTAAATCCTTACTGATTTACATCTCTCCTTCCCTTTTCACGGAACTGCCGTGACTTAGGTGATGCCAAGGAGACTGGCAGAGTCGGCCCTTCAGGCCCTGCTTCTGGTGAGGGAGCCTGTGATCAGGGGTGAGACGGCAAACGATTGGCAATATTTCAGGGGCCGCCGCAAAGCACAGGCACTCCCACGCTTCCTGCTGGACGTTCACCCCGTCCAATCCAAAAACCACTCGAGGGGGTGCCAAGGGGATGTGCTTATACCTCCTTGGGGAAGCTCAGTGTATAAATATGAAGAGTCAGTAGCAGCCTGAACAGTGAAGCTTCAGGGGTGATCAGTAGAACCCCTTCTCTAACAATTTCCCTTCCTCTCTACCTCTTCCCTGGTCCCTAGAATTTTATCAGCCACTTCTTTCTTTGGTTCTTAAAGTGGGTTTTTTTGGGGGGGGAGGAGAGGATTGTTAAATGAGTTTCTTTGCACATTTGCTAGAGAGAGGAAATGCCGTCGGCTGTCATGAGTGAACACCGTCACACAGAGTGTGTCTGATTCCGTTCCAACCATGACCTCTGGCTGAGAGGAAGGTCCTATAACATGGGATCATGCAGCAGCACCGGTTAGGGGGAGTGGGGATAACCACAGAAAAAAAAAAGCAGAGCTCCTAAAAATAGAGAAGATGTTGTACAGGTGGGAAGATGAGGAATGAAATATGTGCCAGGAAATACTGAAACATAGAGGATGACTCGTGTACAGCTCCTGTCCTCAAGAACAGGGGCAGGCTGGGGACCGTAATTCTTTTGGCTCATGAGACAGGACAAGTGCATGGGGACAGTTCTGGGGACTGAAATAAAGGCTGAATGAGTAGGGCGAGTTGGCTCCAAGAGAAAGCTGGGCGGGACTTAAGAATCCCCTGATCCGATCACAGCTGTGTCTCCAAGGCTTTTCCTTTCCCATAGTTGCTGCGCCCTCACGGGCCGCGGGAGTCCCACTCGAAGCCTCCATCCAGGCTGGCTGTCAGGGCGGGCTGAGTCTGAGGACTCCAGGCAGCTGTGTCATCTCCAGGGCGCCTGCAAAGGTTCTTTCTCCAAGACACTCCCCGCCTTCTTCTTTTCGAAACCCCTTCCTCCATCTCTACTGGACATAACCCTGTTGTTCTCTGACCACATTTCCCTGGACTCAATTTGAACGGATTCCCTAAAACTTTGAATCAGCCCTTTTGGGCAAGTGGGTGGGTCCGGAAACCTCTGTGTTTTGTAGCCGAATGGATGGAGTGCACATGGACCCGTCTTCACAACACTGGACTGAACCAACCGACCTTGCGGAGGTGCTGAGATTTCCGGAGGACTGGCCTTGCTACGAACACCAGCAACGCCTGCAAGGCGGACACCCCCGGACTTCCCCGCGAGGACTCGCGGTGACCTAACTGAGCTCCGGACCCGAGGAGGCGGGGCGCAGATGTTTCTTGAGCTTGCGTTGCACGTGGTCTATGGAAAAGACTACAGCTGTCATCCTTGGGCTCATGAAGCGGCGTCTCCGTGCGTCCATTCTGCGGCACTGTGCTAACTCCTCAAAGGGCCGGATAGCCGTGCTGAACCACCTCAGTTCTCGACAGGGAAAACCACGTTCCGAGGAAGCAGACTTTGTGCGATTTGGTCACTGTCACCTTTGTCTCCTACCAACTTGTCACTATTTTTTTAAATCATATGATCAGCTTTTCTCTTCTTTCCTTGTTTTTTTTATTCCCCCCAGAAGTACTTGCTGCGTTTTGCTTGCATTGTTTTTCAGTTAATGTATCAAACTTATTGTATTAAATTTTCATTTAATGTATCAAAGATGAAAACTGTTGGAAAGGAAAATCAGAACTTTTATCTGGTGCCCCATTTTAGATGTAAAGATAGTTATATTCAATAGATAGTAAATTATTTCTCCTAAGAGATATTTCCTTTTGTTTCTGTGCAACAATATGTATGAACTCGGGTATTAGGAGAGTGTATTGTGACATTATCAATCCTTATTGCTATTTAAAAAAAAACGATAGTTTGTAGAACTGAGGATTTCCATTGATGTGAAGCACAATTTAATGAATAAGTTAACATATTAAACTGTGGTGATGTCAAGAACAATTTTCCCCCTGTGGTTCTGTCAGACATTTTTGCAAAAGGAGAAAGGTTTGTTAAACACTTTAAGGGATTTATGGGACCTGAATCCTCAGGATCAGCTTTGTCAAACTCAAAAAATCCATGCTTTGGATACTGATGTGGTTATTGCATATGAAACTCTAAAAGCATAAAAGACAAAGCAAATATAGATTGAAACAATGTAAAAGCTCCGAGGCCAGGGAGGATTTCACAGGCTTTCAAGCACATAAGCTTCTGAAATCACGGTTCTCAGGAACCCTCCCCATTCACTGCACACTCCAGCACGTTGGCACTCACTGGGAAATGTGGAAAAGCAATCTGGAGATGAAGGGAGGAGGAAAAGACGCGAGAAAGGGTGCTGGGAGAGAAAACCATGAATTGGAGCAAAGGCATTTGGAGCTCGGTCTAAAAGGAAGGAAAACAGGGAGGGGGGAAAGGAGTGGGGGAGAGGAAATGGAAGAAGAAAACCAGCAGTAATGAAAAGTAACATGGGCCCGTTCCCAGTTTCAAAGTGTGTGGCTTGTCAGATGTTTAAAAATATCTGACCAGTTCCTATGCCATAAGCGAAGAAAGCAAAAAGTAGGAAGTCAACATACTCAACGGTTGCGATGTCGAGAACAGTTGTCCCCCCACCCCCTCCAACGATCTTGTCAGACACGTTTGCGAAATGAGACCAGTTGTTTAAACACTTGAAGGGATTTGTGGAAATTGAATCCACAGGAGCAGTTTTGTCGAACTCAATCATCCAGTATGGAAAATGTCTTGAATGATGGGATGTATTGGGTTTTTCTTATTCTGCAGAGGTGAGGTTTGTGATGCCTCCCTTGTTTATGAGTTAGTGAGATCGGGAGCCTTAGGAAAATGGCGTTGGACCGTGTCCTTCTCACTGGTGGGAACCATTCGCAAAGAGAGCTTGGCTTCGGAACAGTTGAGGCAGACGTAGGAAGGGCTCCAAGGACAGCAGAAGCGCAGTGCAAACACAGGTGCGTGCTTGCATGTACCCGCACAGGTTCTGAGAGCTTTCGCCTTCCAAGGTAAACCTCTGAGAAGCTAAGAGAAGGACTAAGAAACAGCCAAGTATTACCTTTTCACTCGATTCTCCTTGAAAGGAGCATTGCAAATAAGATTGAAAAATATATCAAGAATATTAAAAATCTGCCCTCAATGCGGTAATGTTTCACTATCACTCTATCTTTTCACATCAAATATAAATCTGAACATTAATTAAGCCTAACTCAGCATAACTATTTTTGTATTTTACAAACAGTGTCAGTTGGTTTTATAATTATAAAGTAATACATGATATTAGATAATTTGGAAAATATAAGGTACTGAAAAATCCATACATTTCAGAGTCAAATCCTGACATTATTTTTACCTATTTCCTGTCATCTTTTTATGTACTATCAATTAGAATAAAATTTTAAATAACAAATGTTTTAGTAAATTAGAATAATAAATCTATTGACTTAAATATGCATATTAACATCTTAATGCCCATTCTTTGAAAACATAATTTTAATAGTGCTTATAACTTATCATTCTTATATTTTGAGCATTCTGGCCATTGTCAACTTTCTCACTAATATAACTATCACTGAAGTGAATATATTTGTACATGAATAGCATCTATGTGTGTTTGTACGCCTGCTGGAGAGAGGGCAGTAGACTGCTAGATTATAATTTCCTAACAACTCCAAAAGAAAAAATATCCCAGAGAGTCAAAAATTACATAGATGCAGCTAAATGAATTGTAAGAAAAAGTTAAAATGAAAGTTATCCATATAATCAAAATGGAGAAGCCAAAGAACTTATATGTACGCCACATGGACATGAACTAAGGGGGAGGGGGGCCGGAGGGAGGGAGGGTGTAGAGCAGGGGGGAATAAAGGGGAGAACAAATGGGACAACTGTAATAGCATAATCAATAAAATATGTTAAAAAAATAAAAGAAGCAATGTAGGAGAAAGAAAAGAAAGAAAGGAAGAAAAGAAAGAGAAAAAAAAGGAGAAAGAAAGAAAGGAAGAAAGAAAGAGAAAGAAAGGAAGGAAGGAAGGAAGGAAGGAAGGAAGGAAGGGAAAGAAAGAAAATAATCTATATAAGGAAAGTGCATGTAAATGTCCAGAACCATTTTTCTGGCCCTGGACTGAAGGTCTCATTCCCCCAAATTGCTGTGGGCACTGGCTGCTGGCTAACAGCTCTCAGCTGTCTCTCCCAAGGACTGGCTGTCCCCGCAGGGCCATGCCACTCTTTGGGGCCAGGCCCATGCAGATGACTCTGCTGTGGAGGTAAAGGCCAGATCTTCAGACTGGCGATATCTGCACTCCAGGGCGCCCTGACGGGTCAGCTGAGGACTTCACTGCAAAGTACCCAGGTCCCTTGCCGCATCTGTCCCCTCCTGCGGGCCCTCACTCATCCACAGGTTGTTCCTAATCAACTTCCGGCCCACCCGCCCCCACCCACGCTCCGCCTTCCAAGGACCTGGGCAGAACGTGGCCAAGGTCTCGCGCCCACGGCCTTCTGCAAAGTTTCTCTTTTGTCGCAGTGCTCGAAGGTTTCCCTTCCTGTCTTCGAGTTCAGCTCTGAACAGTTATTTTGGCGTATTTTGTCCGAGATTTCCACTTGTTTGCGGCTGAGAGGAGAATCTGTGTTAGCTCAGTCTGTCAAGTTCCCAGAAACAAGTCTGCTCTCAAATTTTTAAACCTCCTTCGGTTCTGTGTTTCTGTTGCTTTTTCATTATTTGGCAGATCATCACACTCTTTTTATTTTGAGGCTCCAGATTTTCACAATGAACTTTCACTCCTTTTCTACTTTGGGGGGAATTTTTCTGTTTGCTTGTCGCTGTCATGAAGCTCTCTCTTGTGTTCCTGCCCTTTAATAATAGTTTTATTTTCCTACCTGTCGTTATATTTTATATATTTTACTCTACCTTTTCACATCTAAATTTTTAAGTTTTAATCTTACATTTATGCTCGGATATTTCCTCTTAATTTCCTTTTTCTAATTGATTGTTTTCAAACTTGGATTGTATTGGTCTTAATTTTGTATCTTTTATTTAAAAACAACAATTGTATCTATCTTTTAATGCCTAACCTTTCCTTTTTATTGACAGTTTATCTTACTATTCAATGTTCCATCAAAGATTATTTCAGTTTCTCACTGTTGGTTATAATTACCTCTTTTTATTTTTGAAACACATTTTCTTCCTGTTATTTTTACCCCGCATGTTGTGCTCAGGTAATTCTGCCTGCAAAATTTCCATTTCCTAAGCTGCACTTGGATTTCTTCGGGGCTCTGTGTGTGCTCAGTTTTGTAAAAATTTCATAGATACCTAAAAAGAATATAGGTACTATATTATTAAGTTATATACAGGGATAGGCAAAAATAGGTCTACCACTGTGAGTGCACAAAACAGTGTTTATTCTTGTATTATTATTTATTAATTATTGTATTATTTAATTGTGTTAAAACTGTGAGCCTACTTTTGCCTACTCCTGCATATGAGAGATCTCTCTGATATAAATGTATGTGAAATGCATATACAAAGATATGCATAATGTGAATTATAATACACATGTGTACAGGCATATATATGCATGAATATAAAATATTTAATTTATCAAAGGCAGGACACGCTAAAATCTGCCATTATAACTGTGCTTGCATCATTTCCTCCCAGTCTTCAGTTTGTGTGTTTCAGTGATTGTTCTTTACTCTTTATGGTTTCCATGTTCTTTATCGATGAAGCTCCTGCCATTTTCAACATCCGACGGCTCCTTTTCTATCATTTCATACTTTCTCCTTTAAATTCATCTTTCATTTTGACATTATTATTAACTTCTTGTAATTTGCAATTAACGTGCCGCTTAATTTTCCTCGTGTAGTCTGTCTTTGTCTTTTAGTTTGAGAATTGCTATGATTTACAGATTACTCTCTTCTGTTGTTTTGCTTTATGATTTTTATTACTTAGGCCTCTTCTCTGTTCTAGTTCCTGTTTTGATAGGCTATAATTTCTGAGAAACCAATGCTGAGGACGCAGCCATATTCATTTGATTTTTTCTTTGTGCGATTTGAAGATATTTATATTTATATGATTTCCTTTTTTAAAGATTTTATTCATTTACTTTTAGAGAGGGAAGGGAGGGGGAGAGAGAGAGAGAGAGAGAGAGAGAGAGAGAGAGAGAGAGAGAGAGAGAAACATCAATGTGCGGTTGCTGGGGGCCGTGGCCTGCAACCCAGGCATGTACCCTGGCTGGGAATCGAACCTGCGACACTTTGGTTCGCAGCCCACGCTCAATCCACTGAGCTACGCCAGCCAGGTATTTATATGATTTCCTTATCCCATACTTCTTGCTGTTGTTTCAGTTACCTGAAGTGACAGCCCTGGTTTAGGAAGAATCTGGGACTTTGGATTCCTATTGTTATTGCCCTTATTAATACTGTTATTATAGTTGGCATTGTAACTGCATCAAAAGAAGACAGAAGAATAAAAACCAGGAAACCTCTTATCCTCCTCCTAAACTGGAAATACTGAATTACTTTTAAAGTCAAAGTCCTCACACTTCTGGATGATGCTCACATATCTGATCATTTAAGTTATTCAAACAGTGGGTTCACGTGAAAAAAGAGGATAGGAAGATAAAGATAAAATTGGGACCTCTCCAGCTGGTGTTTGAAAACCATGGAGACACCTAGTTTTCAGGATGTTATTAGTTCCTGTGAATAATATGTATGTTCAGTGAGAAAAAAAAAAAACAATGAAAGGAGTGAACATCTTATCAGGATTCTAGAAATCCAATGGTTTTCAAGCTTAATTTATGACTAACTAAACCCATCATCATACATTTAAAACAGGGGAAGGGGATTGAATTGGTCTTTTGTACAACCACCAAGAGTGTTTTAAAATTTGAGAATATAACTTAAAAATATTCCTGAGTAAGAACACTGACAATCTTAATATCAAGGTGACAATTTTTTAAAAT